TCTATACCAGGCTAAAGAATAGGTGAGTGACCTGCCTAAGAGCCAGGCCGCACCATTTTCCTCTTTGTTCCCCAGGATCTATCCCAAGGTCCTCCCCCTCCTACCCCATCACCAGCACCCCTGCTGGGCCCTGCCCCCCAACTGCAGGGGAAGTCCACTGCTCTGGTATAAGCCACACCAGTCAGAGGACAGGGTGAGTGACCCACCTACCAGCTAGACTACTCCGCTGCTTGGAACCTGTTTCCCCAAGACCCATTGCACTGACCAAGTCCTCCCATCTGATCATCCTCTCTGAGGCCAGCCCTTCCCCACAACTCTGACAGACTTCAGTGGCTCAGGTACAGTCCACACCAGTCTGAAAAACAGCACCACTACTGGGCCACTGCTAGACCACTGCTGGGCCACTGCTAGACCACTGCTGGGCCACTGCTAGACCACTGCTGTACCACTGCTGGGTCACTGCTGTACCACTGCTGGGCCACTGATGGACCTCTGCTAGGCCACTGCTGGGTCACTGCTAGACCACTGCTGTACCACTGCTGGGCCACTGCTGGGCCACTGCTGGGCCACTGCTGGGCCACTGATGGACCTCTGCTAGGCCACTGCTGGGTCACTGCTGGGTCACTGCTGGGTCACTGCTAGACCACTGCTGGGCCACTGTTGAGCCCAGATTTCCAGCTCTGGGAATCCCACTGCTAGGATACAGACCATACCAGTTTGAGAAGTGAACTTCAGCTGCTCAGGCACACACCACACCAGTCAGAAAAACAGGCCACACCAGTCAGCAGAAGAGAGACCCCTTTCTGATGCACCGACCAACCTAACCCCCAGAAGGCCAACTTTGATAGAGATTCCCTCTTAGATCAGAGGTCACACTGGCCACTAGAAATCTAGATCACAAAACTAGAAGACCAAAAAAATAAAATAAAAAATACAGAAGCCAAGGAACAAAACACCCTTTCCAATAAAGACTAACTCAGAAATCAGGACCTAGACCTATAATCATCCCAAACCCAGATGCTTAAACTCCAGTGTGAGAATACAATAAACACCACCCAGGGCAATATGTCACCACCAGAATCCAGCTATCCTAAGACAGCAAGACCTGGATATTCTGAGGGAGATGAAGCACAAGAAAATGACCTTAAAAACAACTTTATGAAGGTGATAGAGGTCCTTAAAGAGTAAATGAAAAACAAATCCCTTAAAGAAACTGAGGAAAAGACAAATAAATAAATCCCTAAAAGAATGTCATGAAAGCAAAAAAAAAAAAAAAAAAAAAAAAAAAAAAAAAAAAAAAACAAATAAAGGAGACCTGTTCAAGACTTGAAAATGGAAATAGAAGCAATAAAGAAAACACAAACTGAGGGAATCCTGGAAATGGAAAATGTAGGTAAGTGAACAGGAACCACAGATGCAAACATCACCAGATGGAAGAGAGAGTCTCAGGCATTGAAGACTGATAGAGGAAATAGGTTCATCAGTCAAAGAAAATGGGGAATCAAAAAAAATCCTAACACAAAACATTCAGGAAATCTGGGACACTATGAAAAGACCAAAGACCACAAACCCAACTCAAAATCCCAGAGAATATATTTAACAAAATCATAGAAGAAAATTTTCCCAACATAAAGAAGGACATGCCTATAAAGGTACAAAAAGTTTACAGAACACCAAGTAGATTGGAGTAAAAAAGAAAATCCCTTCACCTCATAATAATCAAAACACTAAACAAACAGATCAAAGAAAGAATATTAAAAGTGGCAAGGGGAAAAGGACAAGTAACATATAAAAGCAGATCTATTAGAATCATACCCAACTTCTCAACAGAAACCCTAAAATCCAGAAGGGTTTGGACAATGTCTTGCAGACTCTAAGAGACCACAGATGCCATCCCAGACTACTATACCCAGGGAAAATTTCATTCACCATAGATAAAACAAGATATTTTATGGAAAAATGAAATTTAAACAATATATATCCATAATTCAGCCCTACAGAAGGTACTAGATGGAAAACTGTAACCCAAAGAAGTTAGCTGCACCCACAAAAGCATAGGCAAAAGATAATCTCACACCTGTAAAACCTAAAAGAGAAATACACACACACACACACACACACCAAACAGCAACAACAAAATAACAAAGATTAACAGTCAATGGTCATTAATATCCCTCAATATCAGTAGGCTCAATTCACCAATAAAAAAACACAAGTTAACAGAATAAATACAAAAACAGGATCCATCCAACTGTTGCATACAAGAAACACACCTCAACATCAAAGATAGACATTATCTCAGAGTAGGCTTGGAAAAAGAATTTCCAATCAAATGGACCTAAGAAGCAAGCTGGTGTAACTATCATAATACCTAACAGGATAGAATTCCAACAAAAATTAATCAAAAGATATGAAGAAGATCATTTCATACTCATCAAAGGAAAAGATGATGTCTCAATTCTGAATAAATGTACCCCAAATATAAGGGCACCCACCTTTGTAAAAAGAAACATTACTAAAGCTTAAATCACACATGGAACCCCACACAATAATAGTTGGAGACTTTAACACCCCACTCTCACCAATGAAAATAAACAGAGAAATAATGGAACTAACAGACATTATGACTCAAATGAACCTAACAGATATCTACAGAACATTTCATCCAAACACAAAAGAATATACCTTCTTCTCAGCACCATATGGAACCTTCTTCAAAATTAATCATATACTCAGTCACAAAGCAAGTCTCAACAGATACAGGGAAAACTTATCAGACCACTGCAGATTAAAGCTGGATTTTGACAACAACAGAAAACATGAAAAGCTTACAAACTTGTGGAAGCTAAACAACTACCTACTGTTAGAAAGAAATTTCACGAAAGAAATTAAAAACTTCCTAAAAGTCAATGAAAATGAATTTACAACATATTCAAACTTTTGGGACACAGTGAAAATGGTGCTAAGAGGAAAGTTCCTAGCACTAAGTGCTTCATAAACAATTTGGAGAGATCTCATAACAGCATACCTGAAAGTTCTAGAACAAAAAGAAGCAAACACACCCAAGAGTAGTAGACAGCAGGGAATAAACCGAGGGCTGCAATCAATAAAATAGACAAATCCATATCCAAACTAACTAAAAGGCAGAGAGACTATCCAAATTAACAAAATCAGAAACACAAAGGGTGACATAACAATAGACTCCAAAAAAATCCAAAGAATTATTACATCATACTTCAAAAACCTGTATTCCACAAAATTGGAAAATGTAAAAGAAATGAACAAATTTCTTGATAGATACCACTTACAAAAGTAAAATTGAGACCAGATAAACAATTAAAATATACCTATAACCACTAAGGAAATAGGAGCAGTCATTAAGTCTCCCGACAAAAAAAAAAAAAAAAAAAAGCCCAGGACCAGACAGTTTAAACACAGAACTCTGCCAGACTTTCAAAGAAGAACATATACCAATACTCCTTAAATTATTCCACAAAATAGACACAGAAGGAACATTGCCAAACTCTTTTTATGAGGCCAAGGTGGCCCTGATACCCAAGCCTCACAAAGATTCAACAAGGGAAGATAATTATAGACCAGTTTCCCTCATGAACATTGATGCAAAAAATACTCAATAAAATAATGGCAAACTGAATCTAAGAACACATCAAGAAGATCACCCACCATGATCAAATAGGCTTCATCCCAGTGATACAGGGATGGTTCAACATACGAAAATCTCTGAAAGAAAACACATGATCATCTCATTAGATGCTGAAAAAAGCCTTTGACAAAAAATCCAACACCCCTTCATGACAAAAAATGCTTGGGGAGATCAGGGATACAAGGGTCATGCCTAAACATAATAAAAGCAAGATACAGCAAACCAATAGAGGGATCTATTGTGGAGCCTGTATTTGGAGGTCAAGGAGAGCACAGCTGCCTAAGCAAAATTCTGTGCTACAGAGAAGATGAAAAGAAAACACAAGACAGTCATGTCTGCATATTCTAATGAAAAAAAAAAAAACACCACATGCATTGACTCATGGGGAAACATAAAACAAGCCATATTTGAGAGATGCTCTATAATAAAAGTTGCCCAATTTTCATTTGAATGGCCCAAAAATTAAATGCTGGAATTATTCTGGGCTGAAGGAAATCAAGAACACATAGCAACCAAGTGCAACATGCAATCTAGACTGGTCTCTCCTGCTAGAACATTATTGGGAGAACAAGAAAAGAGGGTTGAGTCTGCCGACCGTGATGTAATAGCTGACTGAAAGAGAACGTCTTGGCTCCAGTTCTTCAGGAAACGACTCTTTTCTGTCCCTGAAACTTTTCTATAAGTCCTAAATTATCATAAATAAAAATGTGCTGGAGAGTGCTAATGTTGTAAGCAACTATAATTTCAGAACTGTACAGCTCTGAGTGTATAGAAGCAGACCTATTCAACAGTAACTAAAACCACAAAAGGGAGAACAAGAGTATGGTGTCATGGGTGCTTACAGTACATGCAAAGGAGCATGAAATTATTTGAAAGCCATTTATGATATCTTAAAATGTATAGTATAAGCCCTGAAAAACAAGGAAATATTTGCAAAGACAAAAAAGGTCACAGAAAAAAACCAGCTATGTATATGTCTATAATATGCTATCACTCAGAAAAACCATACTAATGTGGCATGAAGAGAAGTTATCAGGGTGAGAGTGGTAGACTTTACTAACTAAAGTTTTAAATTTCCTGCCATCATACTATTCTAGAGGCAAAAGAGACAATGTTAAGTGTTGTGGAGGGAAATATTCAAATATATTATCAATAAAGGGTTAATGTTGACAGAATATATAAAGAGGTATGGCAAGCAAGTATGAGTTACAATAGAAAGACGGGACAAAAGCAGGTTAATCAAAAGGAAGGAAATTACAGGCAACACATACTCACCCTAATTCCATGCTATCCACAAATTGCAAGGTCTTACCATGGTCAACAGAGTCCTACACACCTGCATTATTGCTCGTTCTGGTAAAGCTGAGATGTCAAATTCTACAGGCACAACTGTAACAACAGTGTCAGAGGAACTCCGCTCAGGGCTAAGGGGTTTTTCCTCAGCTACTTTGGATTTCAGCCTGTACTTCCATTTCCTCAACTGAAGTTCATGTTTTAAAATCTGCAATGAAAATAAGCTATAAATCCCATTGAATTGTCCTAAAGGTCAAATGCAATGATCCATAGAAAGCACATACTTGGCATAACATTAGCACCAGCCACATATTATTATCATTGTGACCCACATGGTGACTTTCAACACAAACACAAAATTCCCTGAGCCATCTCAGTCTATACAGACCATTTCCATTCACACAGGCCACCCCCTGAATAACCTGCTGTTGTCTCCTCTTTTAGAGATAAAAAAAACTGTGGGCCACAAAGTGGAATGTCAAGCAATGAAATCACTAGCATTTGGAGACATGGAAGGAAGTGTTAGCAAAGTGATAACCAAAAGTGAGGAGTCGAGGAAAAATTTCAGATTTATCATTACAGCAAACCCCACTTTACGTGGTACATTTCCTGAAAGCTATAATAAGAAAGCACTTTTATGGGTCAATGAGTATTTTGCACATACCTCTCCCAAACCCATATACATAATTTTAGTATGAGGTATTCACCATGCAATCTCAGGAAGGGTGCATATTGGAAAGCCAGTACACAGAGGTAACACCTGCCTTGGTTTCCTGCACACACCTGTCATCTTCACTCACTAACTGCAGAATGACTGTTGGCCAAGAAATTGAATAGCTAGGGGGATTGGATTCCTAAACACTCATCTAACCACAATACATAAAGGATAGTAGAAGAGTGCTAATATACACTCTATATACCAACCAGGGCATGCCAAACATCAGGCTCAAGAGAACCCCAACTTTTCTCAGGGACAATCAGCATAAGTGAAAGAAGAGTGCCAGTTGGTTGCAGTTGACTATTCCACTGTTAGAACATCAGTGATCAGTAAAGGGCAGTAGTACACAAAGTGGTTGCAAGCATGGCTTGAGAAGATGCACAGTGGTACCCAAGGCAAAGATACCCAACTGGCTAAGTTGACATGGTTCATGGTTTCCACTATAGGGAAAGGATAGAGGACAGCATGAAAAAAAAAGCCAATTCAATGTCTGTAAATTGTACACATCTAGACTATGTTCTAAGAATATGCTCCATACACAGCAGACTCTGGTGTTTACCAAGCATCACACACACTCTTCCTGCATATGTGGGACTGACATGTGCAACAGTTTAACAGATTGATTGTAGGTGAGTGAGATTGTTGATCCTGCCCTTTGAGGGCAAGGATTTAATTTCAACTTCTTTTTCTCTTTCCTATTTATCTCAACTTTGTATTTTAAAGATTATTCACCAAGTATTGCCTATTAAATGATGTCATTACAAAAATCTCAAGCATACCTCTGCATCTGATTCAAGTACTCTAAACATTCTAAAACAAGTGAGGCAATAAAATACTGAAATAACATAAGCAGAAGAAAGTAGTTTTAAATTTGCAGGTGTTTCCTCTGGTCCTCTATTTTAATTGCTTAAATTATGGGTGGATATCCTAGTTACAAATAATTCTTCAAGTTTAGCCATTAGTAGTTTTAAAAATTTACTATTGAAACTGTGACATATTAAATGTTGGAAAAGAAAAGCAACTTAATCTTGGGTAGAAAACGAACAATTTACTAAGTCCTTACCATTTTTACTTTATTCATATCAGAGATTCTCGGAACTTAAATATCTAATGTCTCCCTCCCTGTGGAGTGGGGGGGGGATGGGATGGAAACGAGGTCAGGGGGCATGGAAGGGAGGAAGGGAGAGGGAACTGGGATCGATATGTAAAATAAGAAAAAAACTCAATATTAATTAAACAGAATTTTTAGTATCTTCATCAATATCTTTAAACAAAATATTAAAATATTTTCTTCTTTTAAACAAATAGTGTCTATTATCATACCAAGTCGTCTTCTCTTGTTTTACTCTTGTGTCTGGCTTTCTCCTTCCATTTGGCTAGGATAAGTCTTTGCCTTTGGAGACAGAACATCTGTCGCAACCGAAACAGTGAAGCTGCAGGAAATGTACTAGGTTATTGCATGTAGTGAAAACTGTTTCTCAAAATAATAAACTAAAATATCTGACAGTTTGTGCTTCATTTTAATCACTAAAATTAATGACTGTTGATAGCATTAGTTGGTGCTCTAGAAACTTTTTGAAACCTGTAAATATTCTCTTTGCCCTTAGAAATTAGATATACTAGAAATATATATTTCTTTTAAAATATTTCTCTTTTACAAAACTTGACCTTCTAAGCATTTCACAAGAAACATAATCATCACATAGTATTCAGATTCAATGTCTTTGAATTGTGTCTTCTAGAATTAAACAAATTGCCTAATATATGTTAATCAGAGATACATAATCACAGGAGCCAGGAAAAGCAAACAGTCTGGGGGGCAGGCAGGCTCCTTAACTGCACCAGGCTGTGCTGGCTGCACTGGCTGCACTGGCTGCTGACTGCACTGGGTGCGCTGCTGATTGCACTTGCTATGCTGGCCGCACTGGCTGCTCTGTCTATGATAGCTGCACTGGCTGTACTGGCTGTATCACCTGGCTGAAGGATTGCCTGTTTTCTTTCAGAAGTTAAAGTTCAGTTTTTTTCTCTTTATGTTTGTCTTGGTTTTTTGTTTTCAACTGAAAATAGGTATTTGAATTGTGAGTACTTCTGATATTTAAACTTTGACAATGTTGTTTTTTTATTTAAATGATGTGTGAACAGCACAAAACATGGCAGCAAGCAGTTTCCATCATCACAGGTGAAAATTTAAAGCCTTTGTTCTTTGGTTCTATGCGCCAACCTCCCTGAACATCACTGAGCATCTACCTGGAACCTCACTGAGCATCACAGTTTTGTCCTAAAGTCTAAACTCTTTGAGAAGCCAGAACTCAGCTAGTTTAGTTAATGGCCAGTTCTCCCATTGGACTATTGCTATCAACTGAGAACTAAATGTGCACTCATGACGCCACGCCACATCTGCTGTTCTCATCAACTCCCCACACCCTGCTTCTTTCTTCCTTGCACTGAAGTCATCTCGATTATCAGCTCTGACTGATATGCCAGGGCTAAGTTCACCTCCTGACACAGTGCCAAAGCTGGGTTTGTCCACCTAACAAACTACAAATTAGCTTATAAGCTTCAATGCTTTCAGACTGAAACTCAAATGGGTTATTTCTGTAAGAGTGTGGGGAACCTTAACAGATTCCATAGCAGGCTGAGGGTACATGGAGGGACAACCACACAGGACTGGACAGGGACATGCCAGGCACGCAGAGCTTAGTGAGAAGTTTTATAAGAAAGGGAAAGGGTTGGGGTGGGGGTGGGGGCGAGACACAGAGACACAGATGACAGAAGAGAAGACAGGAAAATCCCTGTCTGCTCCAAATGTAGTGGAGCTCCAGAGCGTAAGTGGGCAGGGTCTGTATTTTAAAGGGGTCCTTTGCACTTGTGTGCAGACTATGCAATCATGGAACCCTGGGCTGATCCGGGTACTGCCTGAGTGCATTCTGCCAGATGACAGGGGCAGGACAGCATAATGTCTGAATCCTTACAGCAGTAATTTTTCCTAGTCATTTTCAGTTAAATACTTTTTACTTGAGTTATTGTCTATCAAAAGTATGTTTCTATACATGTAAATGCTAAGGTTGATTTCAGTTTGTATCAGTTAAATTGTTAACAAGTATAAAGTTAAAACATTCTGAGAGGAATTAGCATATTTTTTCAAAAACTGATTTCCATATTAATATTACCATATATAATATTTATTAGATGTTTAAGAAATTGCATGATACAAGTATATGATAAGATATTTAAGTACTGGAAATCTATACAACTATTTGTTCATTTTAATGATACTACTTTCATAATTATAGTTTAGACTTAATATTTGGATTTCTTGACAATAATCAGAACTTTACATTTTCATGATTAAGAGTTATATAGAATAAACATATCTTGACTTGTAGGTAGAGAAAGACAGTGTCCATGAACTGTCACCATAAAAATGTAACTTGGGTCTTTTTATGAGATTATGTAACTTTGGAATTTTTATTTTTATAGATTTTAAATGTATATGTTGTTTTGCTTGCATGTATGTCTGTGGACCAAGTGCATTCCTGGTGTTGATAGAAGTCAAAAAAAGGACATCAGATCCCCTGGCCCTGGAGTAATGGACAGTTGTGTACCGCTGTATGGGTGCCAGGAACTGGGCCCTAGTCGTCTGGAAAAACAGCCAGTGCTCTTAACTGGCTGAGCCATCTCTCCAGCCCCAAAAGATGATGTAACTTTGGAATGGCTTGATTTAAATTACAAACATAAATATAAATCTTGATGGCATAAGTATAGTCTTCTACTTTATAAGGACATTTATAAAAATCTACTTAACTGTGCACTGTGAATTAGGGAGACATAAGACAACACAGGGATAAAGCCCGAAGGGTGGGAACTACGGAAAAGGAGCAGGCAGGGTTAGGAAAAGGAGAGCAGAGATGGGACAAAGGAGAGGGAAGTGTCAGCATCATGTAATGTAGTTCCACCTGGGTGGGTGTGCATGGGAACTCTGGAAAGAAAGGCAACACACAGAAATGATGCAACTAAAGAGAAGAGCAAGGCAGAAGTAGTAACAGGCCTGGGAAAAGAAAAGAGCAAGGGGCCACGTAAGATGCAAAAAAGGTGATGAGAGGCAAGAGGGATCTAGCAAGGCAGAGAAGACACAAAACTAGAGCAGGGCATCTTGACTCTCAAGAGCTGGCAGTTCATCCAGTATTTTAAATAGCATCATTTCCTACTGACAGCTTTGTGACATGCTAGCCAGTTAATCAGTCCCTAACACTTCATTGTAGTTATGCTAAAACCTTCATAGTCCACTTGGAGGCAGGGATAGACAACAATGCTCAAAAGGAGATGATTTTTAAGCAAGAGTGAGATCAACTGACTTCTCATTTGTCACAGCCACAGGTATAAGATAGTACTCAGAAAGTTGCCACCAAAAAGGCTGGGGTCCTCTGACCCTGCCAAGATCTTATAGGTGTTGTCCATGAATCACAATCAAAGAAAATTGTTCTGTATTATGCTTGAAGTAACTGGGCCTCGTAGTCTAGGCCAGTGATCTCAGCTACCAGGGAACTAGAGGATTACAAGGTCAAGGCCCACCTTGGCAACCTAGCAAGACTTAGTCTCAAATTAAAAATGAAAGGGGGTCTGTGGGTATAGCTCCACGGAGGAGTGTTTGCTTGCTATGTACAAGGCCCTAGGTTCAGTGCCACACAAGGAAGCTAACAGTAGGTCTTTATTAATATATACATACATACCAATATATTTACATGTATATATGTACTATTTGATTTGATTTTGAAAACAAATTTAACAAAATTATTAGGCTTTGTTATTGTTTTGTTATGACAAAGTCTCATGTCAGGTGATAACTAGTGTTCAACAGGCTCACCTACCAGATGAGTGATTCTCTGCTAGGAAGCCCTCCTTGATAGGCCATGGTGTTACTGGCTGTGGAAACCACTGGCTCCTGTCTGTAATTTCTCTCATGAGTCACATTACTTCTTCCCTAAGAATAGCTTTTGGTGTTTTCCTACTGCTTGTGTCTTTATATCATGAAAATATTACATCTGTTTGGCACATGTATCTGTGGGTAGTCAGGAAGATTACTTTTACTTTGCCTGTATAATTTTGACATGTTTCAGAACTGGATCTATTTGTCCCATGAGGACTGTAGACAACAGCCTGCCTTGCTCTTTTGCTCAGATTAACTACACACAGTTAGCTTACTTTCAGCTCAGAACAAGTTCAAAGTAAACTAAAGGCTTTTTGTAAATAGATAAAAAATTTAAAACCTTACAGCTATGCACAAGGTCAGAGCTGCAGATGTCCAACCAAGGTTATTAAGAAAAGTATGCCAACTCTTTGCTTGCCAGTCTGCTAACAAGACCTATGTCTCAAAGCTTATCTCACTGTATCACCTGAAACCTTGGACCCTTGTGTTGCCATGGCAATGGGTCAGCTTCCTATCACTTGTCCTAGGAATGTGCTCTTGACCAACAAGAAACAACTTTGTAATTTCTTTATTGCTTTAAGTTTCCTGAAGGAGAGAGTTTTGAGAACAGAAGCAGCTAGGAGGATTAGAAGTAGGACAGGAAAATTAGAATAAAACAAAACAAAAATAAACAGTGCAGGAAAGGGAAAATTCATTCACCTTCAGATTTTTCTAAGTCTCCTGCTTGCTGAAGTGTTCTACCTGAGCCCTGAGGGGCATTGAGGCTGATCTCAAGAAGCCTCCATTAGTCTCACTCAACAGCCCAGGCTGGTCTGAATTCCCTGCATCTGTCACAACATTCTGAGGGCTGTTAGGCATGTACTACCACACTCAGCCTTACAGTAAGTACTTTTAATTGGTTCATTTAATAACAATTCTCTACACATGAAAATTACATGTTCTCTTGGTTTAACTAGTTTGTTGATTCATTACATAATTGAACACCAAAATTAAGTGCTATGGTATTTACATTTACCTACAAGCCTTTCTCGATTTTTTTCCACATAAGAGAACCAGTGACTAAAAAATAATTTTTGACATTTAAAGTTGTAATGTGTTATTGCTCTGTTCATTTTTTCAGCCAGGATCGCCTCCTGATTTGCACGAGGTATTGCGACTTCCCTCCAACCACTGCAGGCAAAAGATACAGGCAAACATTATTTTTAAAATATTACTTTGAGACTAAGGTAATATAGTAGTAAATAAGTTAAGAGGAATAAGAAGCAAGATGCCTTTTATCCCCTCAGAATTACAACACACACACACACACCATGTAAACTGGGGTATGTCTTGAAGAAATCCTAATAATTAAGATATTATATGGCAGTCATATTTCTTTTTTAATAAAATAAACACATCTTGGGATAACATCATTCTCATAACTTTGATTTACCCAGAGAAGCACCTTAATGGTGATTTTAAAATGGAATTTAAGTTCCCAAACGTATTCAAATCCAAGGATTTTAGGCAAGTTGTATATCAGAAAAGAGTATTCTAACTAAATATAGCTCATCAAACATAGGAGAAGCACAGATGGCAAAGAGTTAGCATTCCTCTGTGTGGATAATAGCAGGGATGAAAGAGCAAAGACAAAGAAATAATATGGAAAAACACTTTCTTACCCAAAATGGCTCTTTACTAAATGTCCAGTGTAAAATGTACATGCTTTTATCATCAACTCTGGAGTCACCTAAAACAAATAAGTAATTGAACTACACATTAGAAATAAATAGGACAAAACTGGGCATGATGGCACACACCTTTAATCCAAGCACTTGGGAGGCAACAGTAAATACATCTCTGTGAGTTCAAAGCCAGCCTGGTCTACGTAGTGAATTCCAGCCTAGCCAGAGCTACATAGTGAGATCCTGTCAAGAAAGAAATAAGTAGAAGAAGTAGAAGAGAGGCTGCCTCTGTGAGACCGGCAAGGAACTGGGACAGCAGCTGCCTCCAGGGAAAAGAAGGGAGGAGTTAATACCACTTACATATTTAGAAATTGTACTATGTATGTCTATCATCTATTTTTGTATATTTTTATAAATTCTCTGAAAACTCCATAATACATACAATGTATTTTGGTTACATTCACTCTCTACTCCTTCCACTAATTTCTCCCAGACTCACTTCCATAAGCACCTCACGACTCCATTTGCCCTCCCACCACCTTTAAATAGTACTGGATCCAATTTGTGCTGCTTACATATGCATGGCTGTAGCACCAACCTACCCGTGTAGTTTTTGTGTTTTTTTTTTTTTTCTCTTTAGGGGCCCACCACTCATCCTCATCTTCCAAATGAATATATGCAGACTCATTCTTACTTATGAATGCTTGGCCTTAGCTTGGCTTGTTTCTGACCAGCTTTTCCAACATAAATTATTCCATTTCTCTTTAACTACATTTTGTCTCTGGGCTTTTTTGCCTGTCTTTATTCTATATATATTTCTTTTCTTCTTACTCTGTGGCTGGCTGTGTGGCTGAGTGGCTGTGTGGCTGGCCTCTAGCATCCTCCTCTCCTCCTTTTCTTGCTCCTCATTTCACTAGATTTCTGCTCCTATTTATTCTCTCTAACTGCCCTGTCAGTCCCTCTTCTGCCTAGCTATTGACCATTCAGCTCTTTATTAGACCAATCATGTGTTGTAGACAGGCAAAGTAACACAGCTTTGCAGAGTTAAACAAATGCAACATAAAAAAAAATGCAATACATCTTTGCATCATTACACAATGTTCCGTGGCATAAATGAATGTAACACATCTTAAACTAATATTCCACAACATACTGGGATTCATATCTCTTTTTAAAAACCTAACTTCTCCTCTATGATGTAAAGCTGACTGGTCTGATCTTGCTCAGCTCTTATACAGACAACCACAGCTGCTGTGCGTTCATGAGCACAGCAGACCTGCCTTGTTCAGGACAGTTTCTGCCTGGTCTTTCTCCACTGTTGGCTCTTACAATCCTTTCTTCCCCCCCTCTTATACAATGTTCCCTGAGTAGAGTCACATATTTGAATGATTTCATTTACTTTAAACTACAACATTTCAAGATAAACAATCAAGGCATTGTTATTGTTGGCCATATTTAAGAGCATTTAATTGCAGAATTGAGGATATGATTCAGCTGATAGACTGCTAGTCCAGCAATCACTAAGTCCTGAGTTTTAATCCCAGTGATACATGTCTAAAAATTCCTGATTCTCCTGACAGTGCATGCCTACAATCTCAACACTCAGTGGGGTGGAAACAGGAGGATCAGAAAGTTCAAGATCATTCCCAGCTACAGAGCCAGCCTGAGGATACCTTGGCTCAAAAAGAAAAGAAAAAACAATTGCAGTCTGTAGGCTACTATTAAGATTGATTTTTGCCTGTCAGTACTGTAAAATGATACTCTCTCCTGAAAACAATATACAAGAATGCTCCACAAGAAGGACTAAGAAAACCACAAATTATAGAAATATAAATCATGGAATCTGCTTAAAGAGAAACAAATTTATCCACTGTTATGAGTAAGGTTTTCCTGCCGGTCTGGTCCTACCGCCATGCTAGCCCCAATTAACACACAGAGACTATGTATTTGATATAATGCTGTTAGCCAGTTACTAGTTTCTTATCGGCTAGCTCTGTCTTAATTATTAACCCGTTTCTATTAATCTAAGTATTTCCACGTGGTCTCATCTTACCAGAGAGTGGGGCTGGCATCTGCTCTCTCCAGTCTCTACTTGTTGACCCTCCTCACTACTTCCTCTCTCCTCCTTGTCTCCTAGTCCCGTCTATCTTTCTTTCCTATTGGCCAACAGTGCTTTATTCATTAACCAGTATGAGAAACATATACAGAATGACATCTCCCATCATCTCCTCTTTTCTGTCTAAATAAAAAGGGTTTTAACCTTAACAAAGCAAAATATATCACACAACAGTTGTCAAATAAGAATCACAGTTAACAATATTTAGTCCATTAACATTTAGCAAGATTTAAGAAAATATTCCATCATCTATTCTATCTTTGTGAGTCTAAAGTCATATATGTAACTTATCTTTAATCCTACTAAGGAAAACTATAACCATAACTATCTGTCTTCAACAACTTCAAAGACCACAGAAGGATAGTATATAAACTCTAGAAATGACAGAGACAACTCACTGCCTGGTCAGTCACCCAAAGTTCTTCTGTAATCTTCCATCTTCAGCCCATAGGCCATAGTGTGTCTGGCAGACTTTTCAGCAAAGCAGGAAACTTTAAACTGTCTTCTTGTATTGGCAGTTTGTCAGTCACTTTTTTCTGTGTCCTGCAGAATGTCTGGCAGACTCTTCCATGAAGCAGGAACTCTGTAGCAATGTCCATCTTGAATCAGCAGTCACTTTTCTGTGGGTCCTGCATGTCCAGTTTATACAGCATAAAGTCAAACAGTCCAGACAAGAGCAGTATCTTGTCCAAATGCCTAGTCTTGCCATATTGAAAGCAAACGCCAAAAAGAGTTTCTTCGATATCCATCTTCCTTTCTGACGCAGGTGGTGTTGCCAGGAGCATTTATGTCTCACTGTCAAGAAAAACCCTAAACCATTTTGAATGCCATATTCTGTAGGTCTTTGAACGGTCTGAAGAATGCCTCTCTACCTCAAATACATCTCTGTGTATTTGAAAACCTAACTAACTTAACTCTAAGCTTTGACTATCATAGATAATTATCTGTAATCTGTACATGCACATTACATTTACATTTCTAAATGAGCTATATAAACACAATACCTAAACAAAAGGAGAAATATATACATCACAAAATTGACCTTAAGACTGAGCAGTGTAAGGGACCTCAGACAGTGGAGCCAGGATGTATCCCTGGTGCACAAAAGGACCTTGCAAACACATCCCCCATGGAGGGATAACTGCCTTAACCTAGAGACAGGAGAGAAGCCCTAGTCCCTACTTCACCTGACCTGTCAGATCTACATGACCCCAACTGGATGGCATTCCCCTACATATGGAATTGGGGTGGGGGGATGGGAGGGGAGGGTGGTTAGGGTGCATGTGAGAGGGCAGAGAGAGTAAAAGGGAGGGAGGGAGGGAGGGAGGAAGGGAGGGAGAGGGAACTGGGATCAACATGTAAAATAATAAATAAAACAAAGCTGTGTATGGCATATACAAAATTCTCAAAAGTAAATTTTAAAGACAATTTTTAAAGATGTGTATATTAAAATATCACCTGGACATATTTAAGGCACAAATATATGGAATATTATAGATTTCTGTTGTGTATGTGTGCATTATGTGTGCAGTGTGTGTGAAGTATGTGCACAGTGTATAGTAGTGTGCATGTGCATGCGCATATGTGCAGTGTGTATGCAGTGTGTGTCTGTGTGTGCAGTGTGCATATGCCCTGTGTACACACAGTGTATTCAGTGTATAGAGGTGTGTGCATGGTGTGTCTGAAGTCCATGTAATGTGTGCACAGTGTGTGTGCATTGTGTGTCTATGTGTGCAGTGTGCACACACAGTGTATATTTTGTGTGCAATATGTGTAATATGTATACAGTGGACATGCAGTGTGCACATGCAGTGTGTGCAGTGTGCACATGCAGTGTGTGCAGTGCATGAGTTTGCAGTATATGTACTGTGTGTGTAGTGTATTATGTGATGTGTGGGTGCAATTTTGTGTGTAGTTTGTATGTAGTGTGCATGTGTGCAGTGTTTACAGTATGTGTGTGGTGTGTGTACATGTGTAGTATTTGTAGTGTACGTGCAGTATGCATACAGTGTGTGGTGCATGTGCATGTGTGCAAGCATATTGCAGTATGTATGTGGTGAGTGTGCAATTGTGTGCTGTGTGTGTGTGTGTGTGTGCTTGTGTGTGTGTGTGTAAGAAGTCACAGAGGGGGGCTTCTGGCGTATCTCATGGGCACCAGAGCGGACTGTAACACATCACCTCCACCACCTAGCTGTGATCAGGAGGACGAGGACCTGGCTGGGGGAGGTCCTGGCTCTTTAGCATCTTCAGTGGGCTCTTCCAGATTGTCACACCTGAAAGTGCCAAGTTCAGCTCAGATAATGATGAGCAACAGACAGAGTTTGCTGAAGAAATGGAGAATGAAATCTGCAGGGTCAGGGATACGTCCATGCATGAGGATATGACTTTATATTTCCAAGAATTTAAGGCTCCTGACATTCATGGGAGTGCTGACCAAATCCAGATGCCCCGATTAAGATGATGCAAGGATGACTGCATGGCTGGCCAGAAAGCCAACACATGGGGCAGCAGTGACAAGGTTCCCAGTCACTACAGACCTGCCTGACAAATACTGACCATCCTCCATTAAGCCTAAGGAACCCTAAGGGCATGCTTTTTTCAGTCCTGTATCCACAAAAGTTATTAGACAACTTATAGTAGATGTGTAATAAACATATATAAGAATGAAAAAGAGAAGTCACAGTGGAGAGAAAGAATATAATTTTTCATGTTTTAAAGAATAGACTAAAAACACTAAAATTGGTTAACTAAAAGGGGGATAGATTATATCTCAATATTAATTCTATATTTTATAATGTTACATATAACAGGAAAAGCATAATTAAATCAAAGAAAAAGTAGGTGATATCAACATTGAGCAATAATTACTTTAGATAACAAAAAAAGTATTACTTTTATTGAAACTACCTAATAGAATAATGCACCCACCTTAGGAACAAAAAGAACTGT